ATAGAGCGTACGATATGCCATTTGCTTTGAAAGAAAAAGTGGAGCTGGAGCTGTCAAAAATGGTAAAAGCAAATATTTTGAAAAAGGTCTCTTTTAGTAACTGGGCTAGTCCTATTGTCGTTGTCCCCAAAAAAGCATCTAATGAAATTCGTATCTGTGTAGATTTTAAAAAAACGTTAAATCAGCTCTTAGATAGCGATCATTGTGTTTTACCCTTGCCTGATGACATTTTTGCTAGCTTGAGTGGTCATAAATATTTCACGGTGGTCGATTTAAAAGGTGCCTACCAACAGCTCAAAGCAAGTAAAAAATCTCAAGAAATGCTAGTCATAAATACTCATCTGGGCCTCTTTGCTTATACGAGGTTAACATATGGTGTTAGTTCAGCACCTGGTATTTTCCAGTCCGTGATGGATAATATTTTGGCGGGTCTACCAAATACAAAGTGTTACCTGGATGATATTTTGATAGTAGGCTCTTCCTTGAGTGAATGTTATGCGAATGTAAGAAAAGTCTTTGAGCGTCTTCAGAATTTTAATGTCAAAGTCAATGTTGGTAAATGTAAATTTTTTCAAAATCAAGTTGAGTTTTTGGGTCATATTATTGATGAAGCTGGAATACATCCAACAGAAGAGAAAGTGGTGGCCATTAAAGCGGCACCTGCGTCTAAAACAGTTACCGAATTGAAGTCATATTTAGGTTTATTGAATTATTATGGTAAATTCATCCCAATGTTATCAACAAGATTGAAACCTTTGTATAAACTATGTCAAAATAATATCAATTTTTCCAAATGTTGGTCCAAGGAATGTGCCAATATCTTTCAAGACAGTAAAGAATGGTTAACATCAGAGAGTGTATTGACACATTATGACCCAACTCTCCCAATTTATGTCACTTGCGATGCGAGCAGTTATGGTGTGGGGTGCGTTTTAAGTCATAAGATAGGTAATGAGGACAAACCTGTCATATTTGCTTCGAGTACATTGTCAGCGGCAGAAAAAAATTACAGTAATTTAGAACGCGAAGCTCTTGCTATTATTTTTGCTTTGAAAAAATTGCACAAATACCTTTATGGTCGTAAGTTTATTCTGGTTACTGATCATCAACCACTACAATTTATTTTTGGACGTAATAAGGGCATTCCGACATCAGCCGCTGCCAGAGTCACCCGTTGGGCTGTCACGCTGTCAGGGTATAAATATGACATTAAATATAAAAAAGGTACTTCTATTTCCAATGCAGATGGTTTGTCCCGTCTGCCTTGCAATAAAGGAACCGAAGTTCCCGATTTTCTGTATTCTTTTAACTTGGTGAATCAGATGCCATTAAACTGTTGCGATATTGCCAACGAAGTAGCTAAAGACTTGTTGCTTCTTAAAGTAAAGGATTTTATTCTATCAGGATGGCCTGATTTTGTATCAGACGAAAATTTAAAGCCTTACTTTAAAAAGCGCAATGAACTGTCTATAGAACATCATTGTATAATGTGGGGGAATAAAGTAATTGTACCCAAGACTTTACAAAAAGATGTTCTAGAATTATTTCATGAACAGCATAATGGCATTGTGAGAACAAAAATGTTAATTCGTTCCTTTTGCTGGTGGCCTAATATAAGTTTAGATGTAGAAAAATTTATATCTTGTTGTGATATATGCCAACAATGCCAAAATTTCACAAATTCTAATACCGCCTTAATGCCATGGTCATCTGCACCTCGAAATTTTTACAGAGTGTACATTGATTTTTTTGTTAAACATAAGTATGTTTTTTTAATTCTAATAGATCAAAGATCAAAATGGATCGGAGTCAAGCTAATGAATAATGGCACAAATGCGTTAGAAACAATTTCAAAATTAAAAGACATATTTGCAGTCTTTGGCCTCCCAGTGGAACTTGTATCCGATAATGGGCCGCCATATAATTCTAGCGAATTTGTGGCATTTTGCAATTAAACCCATCAAGTCACCTCCTTATCACCCACAGAGTAATGGTGCAGCAGAGCGTAGTGTCCAGACTGTAAAGAAAGGATTAGAGAAAGCATTATTTCCTCAAAAAGGGGAAGATGTTTCAAGAAATTTAATTTTAAATAAGTTGCAAAACTTCTTGTTTACATACCGGAACACGCCCTCTACTGTAACAGGCATTTCACCTGCTGAAGGAATATTTAGAAATAAACCAAGAACAAGATTTGAATTGCTAAAGCCATCTTGTCATAACAATCAAAGAACATCAAATATAGATAAGCGTACGCTTTACAAAGTCAACGATCAAGTTTTTATTAAGAACAAACAGACGAAGTTATGGCAAAAGGGCATAGTAATGAAAGTCCTTAGTTACTGTACATATTTGGTCAAATGTGAAAACAATATTAAGTTTGTACATTCAGGCGATTTACGTGATGGGGGAGAGTGCTCCCAAAAGTGTCGCTCGGATGCTGGTGAATCAATTTTGGAGGAATCTGAGAAGCAACAGGTACCTAATATCAGTGCCGCTTCGGTGGAATCTGAAATACCTTGGGAAATCATCAGACCACCAATATGTGAACTTGTTACACAATCTGTGCCTACATCAGAATCCGATGACCAGATTCAAAATCCCTATGTAAATGAACCGCCTCGTGTTAGGGAAGTTGCAATTGAGCCACAACAAGGTCAGAGTACCAGACGCTCTATTTCAGCTTCCTCTGCGGTGCATACACGTTCTGGTATAATTGTTAAGCCTCCAGTAAGATTGAACCTTTGAGTCTTTGTCTTACGCGGGGAGAAATGTTGTGTTTTACCAGTTTATAAAAATACCTATTTTAATTGTTATAGATTGTCATTGTCATATATGTTAATAGCAGTCGGTCAGTGACAAAAATTATAATCATTTTGTGTTGGCTAATAAAGTGAATTAAAGCTCAGTAAGTGTGTTTCAATACACAACAGTAATGAATAGAACTTCCGAATTATATCACAATATTGGCTTTATTAGACAAGAACTTGACATAACCTCAGCAACGAGTGAATATGGCGCCGATATCATTGGTCTCAGTTGAAGTTGCACTGTGTCACTAGAAACAAATACCCGTACATACTTACAAGCCTCGTTTCTTGAATGGATACTTTGCAAGAGGTTTCGGAAAAGGTAATTATCTAAAAGTGTAGATTTAATAGATTTATCAAGTTTTTCTCAGAACTCTCAGGATTTCTCTAGAGATTTTACTTTACCAACATTTAATGAAGGATATTGGCGACCATCTCTAAATGATTATTATTTTAAAGGGCCCCACACACTACGTTCTTTCTCGTCGGTTATCATCGTCGCGATTAGCAACGTCGTGTTTCATCGTCAGCCTGTTTTCACCACACAATATACCGTTTGGGTTTATAGGGCCTAATCCCATTTCATTATTACATTTTATTTTATAATATCATCTCTAGAAAATTTAATCAAATAAATACTGCAAATGATGATCCAACCATCTTCTGATGGAGTGTCTTTTTAACATCTGTATCAACCAAATGAACTTCAGAAAGAGAAGAAAATTACCAAGTATGCCAGATTTGGCAGTGAACAATAAATATTGTTAAGTGGGGAATCCAAAAGTGAAGCACACCCTTGAAATAAATAGCTTAAACTCTTTATTATAGAGACAATGTAAGAATGAAAGAATGCATTTGATGGGAGATACTAAACATTGAATGGTAAGCAAGATTGAAAAAAATTGGACTTATTATGAATATATGAAAAAACTGATATCTTTGAGGCCTTTCTTCGTAGTTCGGTAGTGGCGAAAAAGCAAGTTTTGACTCAGAGATTTGTACTGGAACTTGTAATAATCAATTAAAAATTTCATTCTGGCTTTGTGTTGCCCGTTGCCCAACTCTCAAGAACTTGAAAGCACCGCAGGATTATTCTAGAATATTCGACAAAAAATCAAAAGGAAAATAAAGAATTGGTCAAAGGGGAAGTGCATAAAGTTTGAGAAGAACATAGCAAAATAAAACATTCAATTCAGTATATCCCGTTTCTTTGTAGGCAGTACCTATAGATTGGAATTTGTTGATTTCATACTCACCTTAAGATCTTTCAGTCTAATTAGAAGAAATATATCTCTATTGTTTTCCAGTGTAAACCAGATGCCACCCTTCATCTTCACTTTGAGATTTTACTCTGGCCTCCTGAGCTTGGATCTGGGGTGCGATTTTCGAGACCATTCGAGTACATTTCGTACACGAAATTTGACTGCTCCCCATTCAATAGGGTAGCGGACAAGATATGATTCCAGTGAAATCGATGATTTATTCTTCATCTATGAAGTAAATAAAAAATATTCGTATTGAAAGAAATTTCAGAAAAAATTACTAACTTTGTTTAAAACGGTTGTAGAACTAGAGTTTTGGTACACACTATTTAAACGAAAATATTTCGCGCCATGATTTTACGTCATAGGTGTTGTATTCGAGTATGAAATGAATCAAACCTTCGTCTTATATTCGACACACACTTACTCATTAGTGCAAAAAAGAGAGATATATCAGCGTCATTACCTAGGCGCACTCTCAACTTTACCACACTTTTTGAGAGATTTTCATTTGTCAATCAGAACAGTCTGAGTTTATCTGCATCTTTTTCTAAAAGCAGGTAAAATATAAGGACGCGTAGACCGCGTCGACACAACAGCTATGACGTAATTTTTGGGGCGGTAAATCAAAGCGTTTAAAATTAAGTACAAATTTGTTAATTTTTTTTTGATTTATTTTTGTTTTCTAAAATCAAAGAATCATCAATTACTATTTATTTTGTTATGGAGAATAATAAAAAATATATTTCAAAAAATTGTCCACTACCCTATTTACATTGCTGTCAGTCAAATTTCGTGTACGAAATGTACTCGAATGGTTTCGAAAATCGCATCCCTGCTCATTTCGTTGCTTCTTGCCTGGTTTAATTTTCCAGGTTTTCATGCTGCTCAATGTAGATTGATAAATGATAATGGAAGAAAACCATACACATTGAGCAAGTGAAGTTTATTTACTTAAAGTAAAATAAAATATAAACAAATAATAAAAAATATACCTACAAATTAATTTATATCAAAAAAATGCAGCAGAACATCTATTCAAACCTCTTTGTAAACTATATTGTATCGAATCTTAAAATTAAAATGAATTAAATTGAAAACAATAAACATGTTTTATATGTAGAATAATAAGTAACTACATACTTAATATTGCTTTCGTATTCTTATTTCACATTTTTAAATTTGAAACTAATTTTGATAAAAATGAAGATTCGCTTTCTTGAATCTCTACAAAAAAATCCACATCCATTAGATCCTTAACGATATCATGTACCGATTTTTTAAACGAGTTAAAAGCATTTTTCAACCTATCTATTTCCTTATAATTAAGTATTTTTATCATAATCGAAAACATTTCGCATTTGGACTCAACAAAATTACGATCTTTTTGAGACGCTATTTTATTTAAATTATAAAGAACATGATTGCAAATTTCTTCGACTCTGTAGAAATAACGAGTGAACTTTTCGAAAACTTCATCATCTGCTTTGTTCTTTTCAGCATCTTCAACTGTATGTCTTATTTTATAATCGCAAAGTCGATATTCACCTATAGTAACCACCAACTTATTCTTTTTACCAGTGGAATTTTCGTGAGCATCGACTTCTAAAATTCCATCTTCATTTAAAGTAAATGTTGTTGTAATTTTTACATCACCTGATTTACCGAGAGGTAAATCGTGTATAGTGAATGTACCCAAAAGATTATTATATTCGCAATTTTTTCTTTCGCCTTCATATATTTGAATGGTGGCAGTTTTTTGATTATTGACCATTGTGCTTGTAATGAGGTCTTTTGATTTCGTCGGTAGTGGAGTATTTTTCGATATGGCCACATTCATTAAATTTCTATTCAATCCCATTCCTAAAGACAGTGGTGTGATTTCGGTTACTTTAAACTTTTCCAATTCTTTGCATTTCTCCTTTAAAAATGCTGCTTGAACGCTTGCCCCAAGTGCCACAGCTTCATCAGGATTTAAATCAATGCGAATCTCCCTATCACTGAAATATGACGTTAAAATCTGTCGAACTTTGGGCATTCGCGTGGTACCACCTACAAGAACTACATCTGTGATATTGGCTTTTGTCATTCCTGCTTCTTTCAGACATTTATTTACTAAAATTCCAGCTCGAGCAAACAAATCTTTTGACAGTAGTTCAAAGTCCGGTCGAGTCAATGATATTGTGAAACTTTGGTTTTCATTTCCACTGATGCAATAAATCGGGATAGAGTAATTCTGAGCTGTGGAAAGTTTCGTTTTCAAGCGAATGCATGCATCTTTCACTCTGCGCTCTAGTCTGTCATTAAAAGCACCTTCACCAAACTGTTTGATGATTTTAGTCTTGAAATGCTCTAATAGATTTTGATCAAAATCTCGACCTCCAAGAAAAGTATCACCTTCAACGCTTTTTACGGAAAATTTTTCATTGTCCACCTCGATAATGGACACATCCAAAGTACCACCACCAAAATCGAAAACGAGCAGCGTAGATATGCGATTGAGACGACCTTTGGAATAGTGAATTGCTGCTGCGACTGGTTCAGTTATTAATTTAAGTACTTTCAAACCTGCCAATTCTGCAGCTGCTTTGGTTGCCTTTCTTTGAGCATTACTGAAATGCGCTGGCACAGAAATTACTGCTTCGGTAACTTTTGCACCCAGATATTCACTGGCCGATTCTTTCAAATATTTCAATATTTCTGAACTAATTTGTTCAGGAGTTTTACAAACAGTGAGTCTATTGTGACAAAGTTCAACTTCAATTTTATCGTCATTGCCTCGTATAAGTTTATAACGATATTCAGAAGATTTCATCAGCTTTTGTACGTAAACGTCATCAAATTTTCGACCGATTATTCGCTTGATATCTAAAAATTTATTTAGATGAATGGAACCTAAATGTTAATCAAGTTAAAGTCTTACCGAAAAGAAAATTGTCGATTTTCTGAGGCCCCAAGTCATTTGCCGAAGTACCTACGGAAACTTCCGAGCTCTCTGGATGAAAGTAAATGAAAGATGGGGTTAGCCTATCGCCTTCTTTGTTTGGAATGATTTCGCATGCTCCATTCCGATAAACGGCAGCAGCAGAAAAGGTGGTACCCAAATCAATTCCTATTGCTGGAGCCCGTTCCATCTGAAAATAACTCAAATAAATCAAGAGGATTTGACAGAAACTTTACCTAATTTAGTAGGTACCTAATCTACATTTCGTTTGTTACATCAATGATACTGCCAAGTTTATTCGCGGAACTCCATTTTTGAAAGTGACTTTTGATTTTTTATCGATTTTTCCATTATGTCCCGTTTTCTCCATGTTAGACTCCTAAGGAGATGCGACTCGGTATAGAAGTTCTTTAGGATATCGTCAATGACGTCAATGATATTACCAAGTTTAATCGCGGAACTCCATTTTTCACAGCCTACATTCTTTTTTTTTTCGATTCCTCTGCGTCTCATAATAACGCAGGTGAATGGAGAAAAGTTTATATTTTTTGAAACAAAAGTTTAAAATTCAATTATGACATTATCCATTTTGTCTTAAAATGGCTGCCAAAACAGGCTGCTAACTTCACATTTTGGCTGTGACTGGTTTAGGGAACTGGCTGCCAACTCACACTCTGGCTGCTGTAATGGGACTACTAGTTTCACACCGATAGTTTAACTAACTAATGATATGAGTGGATGCTTCTTTCTTAATGATATATTCCCAAAGAGTTAGAGTAATAGGTGAGTGATCTGAGTGAAAAATCATAATTTTCTTCTTTCTATCTCCAAAAAACTTGAAGATATTTGTTAACTACAAAAAAATCAATTAGATTATGAATTTTTCCAGTTTCTGTTGGATAATATGTTGGCTTATTAGTGAATGGGCTCGCACTGATGTTCTTTAATAACTTGTAGAAGTTCCTTTTCCTTGGAACTGGTTAGTCTGGAACCTGAGTAGGTATTTTTTTCATTAGAGTTACCCCAAATTTATAAAGCGATTTCCTAACTTTCTAAGAAAATCAAGATATTGGTTTTTCTTCATTAGATGCCTTGGTGGTACCTATATACCCAGCTAACATCGAACCATCCCATATAGAGGTATCAAAGATATACCTTGAGGTATGCGACTGAGTGGGTATTATAAAACTACTTCGAGATATAACTTCTAGAATTACATGTAATTCAAAAAGTTAACTTCAAGTTAACTGTCAAAGCAGTTTTATAATACCCACCCTTTTACACACACTAAATTCCACGAACATCTCAAAGATCACGCAGGAACTGCCAAATGTCCGCCTCAACGATATCTTATATGAAAAGTAAACGTCCCATAGAATTCTCAGATGAACATCCACAATTCGTCTCATATCTCATGTTACATGAAAAGCAAATGACAAATGTCCCGTAGAAGTCTTGAAAGATCATCCACAGTAAATCGGTAAATTATTTATTTTTTTTACAAGCAAATTATTATTATTATTATTATTACAAATATCTATATACAAGCGTTTGATTATGACGTTTTCACAGACGTTTTTACATAGCCATTTTTCTAGTATTTGAGTTGTCATGAGAGTCATAACACAACTAGTGGTGTTAGTGTTATGGATTAGGTTATGAATTCATAACATTTTTGGTGATTTGACAAATGTCAAAGTTAAACCTGTAAAGGTGAAATGAAGGGAAAATCGTTTCACGTTTCACGTTGATACTTCTGACATCGAACACGCACCTAACTTGGAAAAAAGGGTTGTCAAGGGCGTGCCGAGTTTCTTGGGGGCCCTCCCGCGAGATTTTCCTTTGGGGCCCCGAACAGTTCCGGTAGAAATAAAAGTAAACAAATAATATCATTAAAAAAAATTATTAAAGATCATAACATGAAATAAAAAATAAGTACTACTCTGGTAAAAAAAAACACAGATATAAAAACTATGAAAAAAATTGTGAAAATAAAAAAATTATAACCAAACTCTGGTTCAAGCAAAACTAAAACTAAGAAATAATGGAGAAAAGTACGGAAGCCCGGTCGCGCAATCTGTCTTCCGAGTTCTTGGTTCATAGTTCTGACGTCATAACTAGGAATTGCTGATTTACTACGTCATAACTCGGAAATGCTCATTTATTACTAGTTTGGTGGAAATTGAAAATATAACTGTACGAGTATATAGTAAGTAGTCATATCGTTTCCTCTCATTCTGACATTGGAACCCGTACGTATAAGTCTGTTGCGCTCGCACTCCCATCGAACATCATACTACTAACTACATACTCGTCTGGTCTGGCAGACACTCGCAACCGCCAGAATAAGCTGGCTGTTTACATATACCAACTTTTTGAATCAATAAAAGAATATTTCCTCAAAATTTCAGCATTTTCAACCTTGTGGGAGCAGGACGAGCAGGTTATAAATTATTGACCCTATAACAACTTTACTATCGTCTGGCACATAGGTACTTGCAGCCCTTAAAATAGGTTATAGGTTGTCTTTTTTTTACGCCCAAACTCTGTGAGAACTGATTTACGGACAGAAAATAATTATAGGTCTGTTTCTGCAGAAATCCCAAACCAGTCAGAATTTCCTTGGTTGAAAACAGTCAGAAGCAATCAGACCTGACGTGTGTTGCTCTCAATCTCAATGGTTGCTGCACAAACATATGGCACAAACCTATTTTTGATATTTTCACCCCGATATACTCGCACGCCAAAAAAGCTTTATACAAGGCAAGAGCATATCTAATCAAAGAATTGAATGTTGATGGTCTCGAATGAGATGGCTTGGTAAAAATTGGTAGATCAATGATTTTAAAGATCTAGAGGCAGAAGACACAGGCCTCTCTAAAATGATGGTTATCTGCTTCATGTAGTAGGTTTTGCTATGGAGTTGTTTTTTTTTTTGTTAAAAATAACGTCGCAAATGCAAATAAAAACAATTGAACCGGATACCTAATTTTTAGGTTACCATTCACAATTCTCAACGATAATATCGATACCGGACTGCTTACGTAGTAAATCAGAAATTCCGAGTTGTGACGTCAGAACTATGAACTCGGAAGACAGATTGCATGACCGGGCTTCCGTAGAAAAGTGTAATAAAACCATTTTCTCAGACACTAGCATTTTTTGTGTCGACTAGTAGAACGACTGGATAAATAATGATCAACTACACTCTGTCCAACGAACCTACGGAGTATGACAGAGTCAGATTGGCGGTCAGGTTTACACTGGTCACTGAACACTGATTTATGCCATTTATTTATTTAAAAATCTTACAAAACGTCACTCTACAGTGTACAGCGGGCTGATAAATGACCAATAGCAACGAACCTTTTTGAAGGTGTTGTTGTTTGTCACTCCGTAGGTTGGTTGGACAGCGTAAAGTTCATTAATATTTACATCTTTAGCTCTTTTGGTCTTTCGTGCTCTATTGAGACGAGAGCTAAAGAACTTAGACGAGTTTGAGACATGGTCAACCTAATGACATTTTTTATTAATTTTAATTTGGAAAATGACCTTTCCGGTTGAGCTGAGGTAACCGGAAGGACTAAAAGTAGTTGGAAGGCAGAACACATTTTCTGGTATACTACTGAACAATAATTCATAAGAATTTATTCAACTGACACTGGATTTGACATAAGTGGAAAAATATTTTGTGTGAGAAGGATACCTTGTTTAATTTGGGGGCCCCAAATATCCCGGGCCCGTCAGGCACGCCACTGAGGGTTGTCGTAGATTAATTCATATGACACACTCAATTTTTTTGACAATTTAAAATGAATGACTTTTGGTTTAAGAACCGACGAACGTTTTTGACGTCATTTTTTTGTTTCAGTAAATTTCTGTTTGTTAAAAAAGGAAGACAAAAAGTATGAACTCTCATAAAACAAAGCTTATGGCCGTTTGCACCGACCATTTTAAGGAAGCCTTAGCGATAAGTATCCCTCAAAGTGACATTTCTCCATGCAAAAATGTCACTTTAAGGAATACTTATCGCTAAGGCTTCCTTAAAATGGTCGGTGCAATCGGCCATTAGACAACTACTAACAAAACGAAAATAATTGAAAAAACATGCCTATTTTTCGCTTTGCAGATGAAACATTGTACATTACAGGTGCATTTGAACATGACTACAAAACTCGTCTGATTAGAACGACTCGGTCTACGACTTCGTCGTTCTAATCTTTCAAACTCGTTATTGTAATCATGTTCATAAACGCACTTATAATGTAAATAACTGGGCAGGTAAAGCGCTGTCCTACGGACATAAGGAGTAGGAACGCGCCATTCTGCTTATGAAATAAATACCTTTTGTGTGCTCCAGAAGTTTCTTGGAATTGCCTAGAGTTTGATGAGTTGTCAGTTGTGGCAGTATAGCGCAAGGGATACAATATCCTTCCATAGGTTTCCATCAATTTTAAATAACAATGGGAGGTCTGATTTTTTAGCTCAAGAAAGAAGAGAAAAATTGATTAACGTTCTCAAAAGAGAAGATCTGACAGAAAAATAGGATGAATATAGAGAAACTATACTCATATATTTGTTCTTGTGACACTTGGTTTTGATATTTGTTGGAAAAAACCTGAATTTAATTCATGATATTTAATTCATTATAGGAAAACCCAGCAAACTTTTAGATAAAAAACCACATATAGTGGAACACAAACACTCCGCTCTAACTTTTTTAAAACAAAATAACACCAAAACTTGTAAAAAAACTGTGAAAACCGCATAAAACATAACTGGCCTTATCTGCACCAATGTAAATAAATTATTTGTTTTACCTCAGGGCGATTGTCAAACTCATTTGTGACGTCACATGGACATGCCCTATACCGCCATTTTTTTGGTGCCAAAATACCTGGAGAAAATCAGCTTCATTTTCCAATTGACGTGTCTCGCAGAAATAGAAAAAGAGAGCTTAATTGTAATAATACAAGTTAGAAAGTAATAGAAAATGACATGCGCGCGCAACCCGTGGCTGCAGTGTAGCCAGATTGTATTGTTGCAGAACAAATGTAGACAATAAAAATCGAACATTATAACATTAAAGAAATGATATATTGTCAAGTGTTTACCACGCCTTAAATCAGACAAAATAAGAGCTTTAAAGTGTATGTTAACATCGATGGGACTTTTATTTTGATAAATGTATCATCCGGCAACATCGCTCAATGAAATTGCCAAGGAATATGTCAAGTATAATCTAACATAACCTTAAACGATACTGCAATAAGTTCAAGTAATACGTAAAGTATTAGTTTGTTCTTTGTCTAATATCACGTTACAAAGAAAGAAGGAAAGATTAATTCTGAACTCGTCCCTGAATACGAATATGACGCAAACCCGTAAAAAACTCGATTTTCATTGGACGCTCACCTGCAACCCACGAGTTGCGCGCGCACACCAGAGGCGTTTTCTCGCGTCTCAAATGTTTCAAAACATTTTTCAAAACTGGTTTAAGTAATGTCACCATGACGTCATAATTTCTCGGCGCGAGATAATGGTTTGAAAACGTGGATTGGATTGTATTTCGAAACGGTTTGAACCAATTATGACGTGACGTCATGGGTTTATCGCGAGAATATACTGTTTCAAAACAGTTTTGAGCCAGTTTCAAAGAAGTGGACGCGAGAAAACGCCTCAGGTATTACGAGACACGTCAATTCCATGTTAGTACTCCTCTTTACCTTAACCTGCTAGTAAAGTCCGACAAATACCATTTTAAAGTCACGTGATATTGGTGGCAAAGAACGTATGTTCATTGATTATGTCGTTGATGTCACCTACAAAAAGCTACTGGTGGTTAATTACTATTGAATTTTAAGATATGTTCCCACTAGCATTTTACAAACGCGTTTCTGAAGTAGTATTGACCAATCAGATGGGAATTTTAATACTTGCAATTGTTGCGAGACTCACTTTTGTCGCTTCTGCTGCCCCTTGTAATACATTTTGAACTTGAATTGGGTACCCGTGTTCTATTTGCTTCTTTTCGAGTTGGAAAAAGGTTAATATAGTCAAAATTATTAGCTGTGTTTGTTCGTTGTATCATTTTCGAAAATAACTTTGACAAACTAATTGATGACAGTGATGGATTCTATTTCAGGAGGTAAGAATTTTATGAACAATAATTAGACACCAATTTTTTTGTCAATTTTACTATCACCCCGCTCCGCTGTTTGAGATGTATTCAACAAGGATAGAAAAAAATCAGTGACTTCAAAATGGTATTTGTTGGACTTTAAATAACTATTATTTTCAACTGTATATGTGATATTGACATTACAGGCTTTTCAAAATCTTGAAAGTGTCACATTTTTGTACCTTTACATTTTATCGGGACTGCAATGTATAGATATGCCTGCCTGGGCAGGTATATCCGTTTCCATCCCGATTTCCCTGCTTGTTTTTTTGTCAAAATTGATGAAATTGACAAAAAAAAAGTGAAAGTTGATTTTTTCTAAGGCCAATTTACACTATCATTTCGTACCATAGTTTCGTACCATAGAATCTTTTGCCTCAGAAATTGAGGGTTGAAAATAAAGCAGTATACAAACCTCGACGGAAAACTTCATTGCTGTCTCGAGGTTTAGTTTATCTCGACGCTACGCGTCTTGATAAACTAGATATAGGTTTTTTACGTTATATTTAGAATGACGTCAGAGAACAAGGACTGACAATGTTGTCAATGCCTATTTGTTTTCTTATAATTTACCAGAATGTCATAATGAATTATCAAGACCACTGACAGCTAAAAATAACGAAATTAATCGACACGCATTATTTATTTGAAAATGTTCACTTAAATCATGCAACATCGCGCGCCGTTGCCAACCAGAAACATCCGAAATTCCCCTACTTTGAATGCGTTAAGAAGTACTTTTAGTTTTGTTAGATTTGCAGCAGAAATTTACTAAATGTGACGTCATCCTGAATATAACGTGAAAATCCTATAACCCCTTGATCAGCAATGAAGCATTTTCCGTCTCGGATTGTAATATACTATAATAGGCGCCGGTCACAAATTCCCCTAAAGTTCATTCCACCTAACGAGATAGTAGAGGTAAACAAACAGGCGGAGCTTAAAAATTCAGAGAAGGACTGCAATGCAATGATATGAATTACAACTAATGACATTTATTATTGTCAGGTTGTCATATGAGTCAATAAGTTTAATGTCGTATTTCCTAGTATTTTACAATTATTTAAATAATGTTTGGTGAATTATTGTTAATTAGTGAGCAATTTAGATTAAAACAATATCAAGTTCAACAAATTCCGCTGAAGACTTCGTTTGGAAATATATTCAGCGAAGAGAAATACAAAACAACCTAGGACGGTCCTGCCTTGGGCGGAGTATAATCCTTTTCTAGCCAATAAAATTCGACTTACCTGTCAAAGTTTGTTGACTGTCACTATCTCGTTTGGTGAAATGAACTTTAGCGGCAGTTTTCAAAAGAATTTGTATAATAAACAATTGGCATTTTGACAGAAGCCTAATATAGTCTTAAGGCCAGGGAAGACGTTCCGTCATGTTCAGTAACTTGCTTGCGCAATAGCAAATTGAAGACTGATCCTTTATTTGAACCCTAACTATTCAGTTTTCAGCTTCGTGGTGGATACATTCTATATTTTGGAAAGAAACATTTATTTCCAACTCAATTTTTTAAAATACGAGTGACAAGTGAAGAAAATAAAAAAATAACGCATAGTCTAGGTTATAGGTTAGAAAATATTGGCATTTTGTCAAAAGTTCAATTATTTATTATACAAATTCTTATGAAAACTGCCACTAGGGGTCGCGGATTCCAATTTGCAGCAAAAAGCCTACAAGAATTTGAAACCGACATACGCCGTTTGGTTGATTAAGCTTTCCCGGAAGCAGCTACAGAAATGCGAGAACAACTAGTGACCGAAGACTTTATATGTATATGGAATTAGAGATACAGATGTCCAGTGATTGCTGCTCATAACCAAACCATCAAATAGCCGAGGCAAATAAGATTACCGAAGCAAAGATTAGAGCTTTGTCAATTCGTGAAGAAAAACAGTCAATGGGAGAAATTAACGATGCCATAATGAAGGAATTTTTAGAAGAATTAGGCTGTCATTGCATCATCAGAATTCTACTGGGAAACTTGAAAGAGAGCATCAAATGTTACCGCTGCGGAAAAAGGAGACACTTCAAACGTAACTAATACAACTGAGATATGGCTCTTATTCTGATGACTGTCAACCTTTGATTGAGAACTTAGAGCACCAAGCAAGTCCAAATCAAGACAAGAACTGCCTCGGAATTGATCAGCTGGAAAAAGTTCCTGTTAGAAGCTTTCGATTGGATGCGAACGAAAAACGCAGTCCCGAACAGCTGAGAAGTGATCAACTGGATTGGGAGTGGCCTCGATCTTCAATAATTTTTGGAGATTAGGGAAACCGGGGAACAAGAAGATTGGTCGATTATGACTAATGCTAATCCAGAAGGTCAAAGTTATCATTCAAACGGCCGCTCTGTGAGGATTTCCATGAAGGAGTGCTACGAGAGCTGCGACCATCCACGATCCACGAAAGCGCAGGAAAGTGCACCCCGAATCCCGTGACAATATATTTGAATCATTTGTAAGCTGTAGGTATCTTTTTGATACTTCTAGGCAAATCTGATGAGTTAAATAAACAATAGTATATATACTTGAGTCTAGAGATTTCTCGTCTGAATGTTTTTATATAGGTAATTGCAAAGCGCAAAGGTTGTAAGTCAGTGAGAAAGTAAAATTCAATACCTTCAAAACTCGAAAAACTTAAAATTTTGTAGGTGGATGTGTATGTAGGTAAAATTAGAAAGTAAGTAAAGTTCTGTAATAAAAATAAATCCTAGTTTATATTATATAAAAAAAAGTCTTTATAAAGTCATTTGAAACAAGATGAAGATAAATAACTTAGGATATAATCAAATTTGACAAAAACTACCTAGGTAGGTATCTAGGCAAAATTGCTGACGGATTCAGTGACCTTATGTAAAATTATATGCATGATTTCTTCTCCGTGTGAGGTGGTGTTTTGGGGCCCTCCTCATTTCGGGGCCCGGGGCGTTAGCCCTCAAAGCCCCCCCTCAATCCTGCCCTCGTCAGTGCGGAAAAAAATTTACCACACGGCTGTCAAAAAAAGGCAAATTCTACATTTTTATGCCTGTGGGAAAAATATTGTACCTAACACTTGCGGAAAATATTTTTCCGCACTTGTTGGGTAAATAGCTATTCCGCATAATTCAGGAACGTTATTTTTCTACGACCGTGCGGAGAAGTACTTTACCGCACGCATTTCAGAACTTGAAAGTACCAGGGTGACTTAACATTGCATAATTATTTCACTTTTCCGCACTAGGGGCTGAATGCGTGCAGAAAAAAGCACTTCTCGCGCACGCTCGTAGAAAAAAAATTTCCCCTCCGGCGGCGCCTACGGCGAGCTTCACCCTCCCCCTATAAACAAATTTATGAAGTTATTCTTCACCCATGAGGACTTGACTTATAAATAACGACTGGTGGCTGACTGGTGATTGCATATTTCCATAAGAAATGCAATTTATTTTTACCTTAATTCAACTGACTTTAAAAAGATTATACAAAGAAAACTTCAAATAACTACGCTCATGAGCAAAACCAAAAATAAGGGTACGTTAGCTAAATGTTATTCCATATGAATAAAGAATTTTCACTCAAAAACTTCCAAGTGTCTTTACTAAGACTAAAATAGTTTCAAATAAGAATAGTGATAGGAAAAGAAATATTTTATAGCTCATAACTGTTGGTGTCTTATTGATTGTTGTAAGTAACTATAAACCATTGTGCCATTTTTCCAATTTCAATTTAGCGATAAAGCGAAACTTCAGATTATTTAAATATGCACTGCAGTTTGTGAGCAAACTTTGATATCTAAATGAATAAATAATATTAATATCAAGCACCTACCTGGTTGCAGTTCAGAAGATGATTTCTGTAGAAAAATAGTACACTACACTACCAATTTTTTATGATTTAAATTCCAAAATTATATTCTCAAAAAATTATGCACTGTCGCAATTAAGCAAAAAAGCTTTGTGTGGCTGGAATAATTTTTCGAGGTATCGTTTGATAAAATTATTCAGCCAGCGTTGCCAGAATTATAGAAGATTCTTAGTAGTTTTCTTAGGCTCAAATTTATAGCTGCTAAAGGTTTTTTTTTTCGACGAATTATCCGATCATATCACCAATTTCTGGAATGGGAAAACTTTATCAATTGAAAATGAAGGTTGAACTAATACGGTCAAAAATGGTTTGTGGCTCGACACTGTTTCATAATCTGCTTTGAACAGCTCGTCAATAAAAAAATTAAAATGTGGCAACAGCGATATTAAATGTAAATAAAAATAAAAGAGTAGAACCCGCTGTCTTCTTATCACAATCCGAATGACTTGGCCGATTGTTTTTTCCGAGTACAGATTATAACCGACAACAACAAAAATGCATTCAAAGCAAACGAAATATTATTTGGTGCCAAGGTCAGAAGAAGTCATTATCAAAATGCCATTTTCAGAAATTAGATCAATATTTTTAGATGCGAATTACGGACTAGGATTGAACTATACTCTTTACTTTTTAATCAAAGGGTATACACAATCATAAATGTGCCAAAATGCATTTGTTATATTAGTTAGTTCATTGGCTTGCCTATACATAACAAGATAAATTCTACCCCAGGGAAATTAGACCAAAAAAGGGCCATCTGCGGAATGAGGCCGAATAAGCTGAATTTTTGCAGAGACCTTCATTTTAATGTTCTTATGATATAAATCGAATATGCCTACTCTTGTGCGTCTTGAGATATTGAAGGTCAAAGGTTTCGAAAATCGGTTTTTTGCAAAAATCTCGCTTCCAGTGCATCTGACATCGAAGAACTTAAAACAAAACTTACGTAAAAAAGTATTTTCTACAAAATTGTTTATACACATTTTGTTGTACGACCAACCGTTTTCGAAATATAGTGTGATAAAGCGGGAGCGCGCATTCAAAAAAGGTGATACTGTATTATACAGGGTGTCCCCGTTCAAATCGTCAAAAATGCTAGAGTATATAGAGGAACGATACAGAAGTAATTTGAGATAGGACACCGTTAGTCGGAATTGCGTCGTTTCAAAAATACAGGGTGTTGAAATTTAAACAACCCCCTTTCATATCATCTGGAGGGCTAAAGCTAGGCTGTTCAAATTTTCAGGGATTATCGATGCAGGAATGATATTTAAAAATTCGTATAATGCACTACCATTTTCTACCTGAAACTACCCAAAAAAAAAATAAAATTTAAAACAAATTGCTTTTTCAAACAAATTGCTTTTTTTTCAAATTGGAGGTGCATTATACGAATTTTTAAATATCATTCCCACATCAATAATCCCTGGAAATTTGAACAGCCTAGCATTAGCCCTTTAGATGATATGAAAGGGGATTGCTTAAATTTCAACACCCTGTATTTTGGAAACAACGCACTTCCGACCATTGGTGTCCCATCTCAAATTACTTCTCTATGGTTCCTCTATATACCCTAGCATTTTTGACCAGCTGAATGGGGAAACCCTGTATAATACAGTATCACCTATTTTGAATGCGCGCTCCCGCTTTATCACGCTATATTTCGATTTTCGAAAAGGTTGGTAAAAAATGTAGGTATATGAACAATTTTGCTATATATCGATTCTTGAAATTAAAAGAAATTAAATTTAAAAAAATAAAACATTTTTCATATAATGATATAAGTAATTGATATGGCTTTAATTTTATTAAAATAATATTTTACATTCTTAAATTTGAAACTAATTGCGTTAAAAATGAAGGTTCCCTTAGTTCAATATTCACAGAGAAATCCACATCCATTAGATCCTTAACGATATCATATATTGAGTTTTTAAATGAGTCAAAAGCATTTTTCAGCCTCCCTATTTCCTTATAATCAATTGTTTCTATGTTAATCAAAAACAGTTTGCATTTAGACTCAACAAAATCACGATCTTTTTCAGTCGCTATTTTATTTATATTATAAAGAACGCGATTGCAAATTTCTTCGACTTTGTAGAAATAACGAGTGAACTTTTCGAAAACTTCATCATCTGCTTTGTTCTTTTCAGCATCTTCAACTGTATGTCTTATTTTATAATCGCAAAGTCGATATTCACCTATAGTAACCACCAACTTATTCTTTTTACCAGTGGAATTTTCGTGAGCATCGATTTCTAAAATTCCATCTTCATTTAATGTGAATGTCGTTGTAAGTTCTACATCACCTGCTTTACCGGGAGGTAAATCGTATATAGTAAATGTACCTAAAAGATTATTATATTCGCAATTCTTTCTTTCGCCTTCATATATTTTAAAAAGGACAGCTTCTTGATCATTGGCTATTGTTCTTGTAATGAGGTCTTTCGATTTCGTTGGTAGTGGAGTATTTTTCGATATGGCCACTTCCATTAAATTTCTATCCAATCCCAATCCTAAAGACAGTGGTGTAATTTCGGTTACTTTAAACTTTTCCAATTCTTTGCATTTCTCCTTTAAAAATGCTGCTTGAACGCTTGCCCCAAGTGCCACAGCTTCATCAGGATTTAAATCAATGCGAATCTCCCTATCACTGAAATATGACGTTAAAATCTGTCGAACTTTGGGCATTCGCGTGGTACCACCTACAAGAACTACATCTGTGATATTGGCTTTTGTCATTCCTGCTTCTTTGAGACATTTATTTACTAAAATTCCAGCTCGAGCAAACAAATCTTTTGACAGTAGTTCAAAGTCCGGTCGAGTCAATGATATTGTGAAACTTTGGTTTTCATTTCCACTGATGCAATAAATCGGGATAGAGTAATTCTGAGCTGTGGAAAGTTTCGTTTTCAAGCGAATGCATGCATCTTTCACTCTGCGCTCTAGTCTGTCATTAAAAGCACCTTCACCAAACTGTTTGATGATTTTAGTCTTGAAATGCTCTAATAGATTTTGATCAAAATCTCGACCTCCAAGAAAAGTATCACCTTCAACGCTTTTTACGGAAAATTTTTCTTTGTCCACCTCTATAATGGACACATCCAAAGTACCACCACCAAAATCGAAAACGAGCAGCGTAGATATGCGATTGAGACGACCTTTGGAATAGTGAATTGCTGCTGCGACTGGTTCAGTTATCAATTTAAGTACTTTCAGACCTGCCAATTCTGCAGCTGCTTTGGTTGCCTTTCTTTGAGCATTACTGAAATGCGCTGGCACAGAAATTACTGCTTCGGTGACTTTTGCACCCAGATATTCACTGGCCGATTCTTTCAAATATTTCAATATTTCCGAACTAATTTGTTCAGGAGTTTTGCACACAGTGAGACTATTGTGACGAATTTCAACTTCAATTTTATCGTCAGTGCCTCGTATAATTTTGTAACGATATTCAGGAGATTTCATAAGCTTCTGTACGTAAACGTCATCAAATTTTCGACCGATTATTCGCTTGATATCTAGAAATATATTTAGATAAATGAAACCTAAATCTTAAATAAGTATTTAAGTCTTACCGAAAAGAAAATTATCAATTTTCTGAGGACCCAAATCATTTGCCGAAGTACCTACGAAAACTTCCGAACTCTCTGGATGATAGTAAATGAGAGATGGGGTTAGCTTATCGCCTTCCTTGTTTGGAATGATTTCGCATGCTCCATTTCGATAAACGGCTGCGGCAGAAAAGGTCGTGCCCAAATCAATTCCGATCGCTGGAGCCTGTACCATCTGAAAATAACTCAAATAACTCAAGAGGATTTGACGAAAACTGTACTTAATTAAGTAATCTACATATCTTTTTTATAAATCTAGAGGATAGTAGTGGAATAAGCATGTTTAAAAAATCATCCATGATCTATGTAGAAAGTGTAAAGGTGGAAAAAAAGTCTGTCTAAATCGACAATAGGTATGCGGTATACGTGAGAGAAAATAGAAATAAATTTGAAAGCAGTTTAGAGCAGGAAGACCAAGTGCTACTAAGGTCAGTTGTACCAAATAGTGGTTCAGTTAAATTCTACAGGTACTTGATCTTTCTGATCTTTCTTATTTGAAATGCATTGATATCAGAAATCTGTCAAAATGCATATGTTTAGACAGCAGACATAGACCGTCAGCTAATGACAGATTCTGTGACCGATTTTCTCTCTTCGGGGATTTGCGACCGGACGTCTGCTAGGCATATGGAAAATTTATTTTCCTTTTGCAGAAAAAAAAAATAGCCACTAAGTGAAGTTCGTGTCCTATCGGTATCCAATGAAGGGGATGATTCGTCGGTTAGGACTTAGGACAAAAAAAATAAAAGGCCTGTTAAGTCGTTGCCAACGTTTCGGCTAAAAGTTTAGAGCTTCATCAGGGCTAAAATATATACAGGGTGTGCCTGAATATCATGTACAAACGGAAGGGGGTGATTTTTTAATTTATTTTATGACTAAAATTTCTAATAAACGTAGGTCCGAAAACGCTTCCTTACCGATCTACAGGGTGTTGAAATTTTATTGTATTCATATTGAAAATTAGCAAGAATAGGGCGGCGAGGGGCGTCTTACTTCTAGATTCCCATTGAAAATGAGCAAGAATATGGCTGCGGAACCTCTATTGTTGCCACTGTAGGTAGAAAAGGTTTATGAAGTCACTTTAGTTTCATCTAGCTATAATTACAGAGATTTATTTTTTAATTTTTTTCTCGATACGGGTCGATGATACGAAAAAATTACAAAATAACAAAAAATTTCCAAATAGGGTAGAAAAATTATTTTATTTTTTAGAATCGAGCAGCGGCGCACCGCGTAAATGTTCAGGGACAGAATAGGGGGCATGACCCCTGAAAAAACATCACCCTATAGATTCTGGCAAACGTTTGTGCAATGTATGTGCAATCATTCAGCTTCTGTTGCGTAACCTATATTTCAAATTTGAGCTAAATCACTCAAAAATTGCAGGAGCTATAAAGAAACAAGTGAAAAAAAAAATTAAAATTTCAACACCCTGTAGATCGGTAACGAAGCGTTTGCGGACCTAAATTTATTGAAAATTTTAGTCATAAAATTAACCAA